CCACAACAACCCTATGAAAGAAAAATCGTTATGATCATACCCCTTCTACAGATGAGGAAACTGAGGCACAGAGAAGTGAAGGTCACACAGTTAGTAAATAGCGGAACCAGCTAAAGACTCAGTTAGTTGTGCTCAGAGCCCACTTTCTTGATGACTTCACACACTGCCTTTCAATAAGCAAAGCTAGGGACCTACAATTCTTGGCTTAGCCCATGTATTAATAACACATGCCTGTGTCTGGGTTTCTTAGTTACCCAAGGAAGCAAGGACCCCAGGGTAGCATGGTGGTCCTCCCTAACCTCTCAGCTTCTGAACATCATCCCATCGCCACACACAGGAGGAAACAAGCTCTCTTTCAGGCCATGGTGGGTATAAGGTATGGTCTATGAAAAGGTCCCATTTGGTCCTTTCTGTTTGACCCACTATTAAGCCTCCATAAAGCTTCCTAGTAAAAGAAAAGCTTCCTTAATGAGAAATTCCCCATGATGGCAAACCTGTCATTCTCTCAGGCCAGATTGTCATGGAAACTTTTATGAAGAGGAGCCCAACCCTCTGGTCTTCGGGCAGCAAAAGAATCCACGCAGTTGTTCCATTGTAAAATTATACCAATTTATTCATTGCAACAAGTGAGGCAATGGCACGAGTTTCTTTTACTGATGAACAGAATTAAAACATAATGAGAGGAACACAGTCAGAGTTTAATTTGTCCAACCTCATGCCACTCAGCTAGCCCACATCCTGCAGTCTTCCAACAGCCCAAACAATGCATTTGAAAAATAGGAATCATTGGACCAGAATTATAAAATAATTTTGAGTTGGAAAAAAAATGCATTGCTCTTTAAAATAACACTCAGGCATCTTAGTAAAAATAATAATCGCCTTATATTCTAAAACAGAGTCAGAAAACTATAACTTGCACCAAATCTGGCTTGCAACTCAAAGCTAAACATGATTTTTGCATTTTTACATGGTTTCAAAAAAACAATCAAAGGAAGAATGAGATATTAAGACATGTTAAAATTCTATGAAATGTAATACATAATGCATGTAATACATAATGTTTTATTGGAACATAGACACACTCATTCATTTACTTATTGTCTCTGGCTGCTTGCACGCTACAAAGGCTCACAGTCTAAAATATTTACTATCTGGCTCTTTATAGAAAAAGTTGTAGACCCCTTTCTAAAGTGATAAATGATAAATATATTGCCCTAACAAGTTTCTCACTGATGAATTGTGGAACTGTAGTTTTTAATTGTTAGAAAACAGTGAAGCATTTTGTGACTTACCTCAGTAATTAATTTCTAAAAACCAATTCTAAATAGACTTTGGAGCTTATTACTCATTCTAATGATAAGTTGCAAGTTCTTAATTGTTCCAAGGGGTGTTTTTTCTTACACTAAAATGATGTATGACTGATACAAACCAGGAAATTTCTTCAAACGCCTGAGTGAAACAAAGAAAACATCCCATGCACATGCATATTTACTTGGCAGGAACATTTTGCTGCTTAGCTTGAAACCAAAACAACTAAAGCCAGTAAAGACAGAGCACGTGGACTTTGTTCCTGCCTCTTGCTTATTCCAGAATCCTTAATCCACAGAAATTTTTTGGTGCAGCTTTACATTAAGCATTTCAAAAGGAAAACAGGGGAATGGACTTCTTTTGAAAATGTATGGTTTGTTGTTGTTTGTGACTACCCTTTGACAGTGGCTAAGTCGTGTATTTATATTTCTCTTTTAAAAAAGGAATATGTCACAGGATTTGACTGTCTTTCTGACCTTTTATATTTCTTGTGCTCAATATATACTTGTAATGTCCTGCAGTCTGCAGATTCACTCTGATTCTCATCCATGCTGCTCCCAAAACACATGCCTCTAAAATTCTTTCAAATCTGGCATCGTCATTTACTTTGAAAGTCAATCCCTAAGCAAAAGGCTGGAAAAACACAAAACAGACTCACCAATTATTATTATTCAGGCAACTCCTAGGACTTTACAAATGTGCTGTAATAAATTAACTTTGTTATCTCCCTGAGTTACACAGAAGTTTTAGTTGTATTCAAATGCTAAACTAAGCAACAGATTCTTCATGGGGGGTACTGGCAAGAAAGAAGTCCTCGACTGAGGGCCTGGGAATATGTGGTGCAGTCTCAGGTCTTCTGTGTACGCATTCTATAAACTATGGGAAAGTATGGAAACTTTGCCATAGTTTGAACATGTATGAACAAAATATGAATTAGGACCTTGGAGAAAATGTTCTACTCTTATGTCAAATTCACATTGTTCAAATATGCTTTAGAGTTTTGCAGAATTCTATGGAGACATCTTTCTTGTGATCTTAATCAGAAAATTATTTACGACTCATAGATCCCAAAGACTCCTTTAAACAAGTTTGGGAAGCTGCTGAAGCTCAATCAACATCTTTAAAAGCAGTTCTAAAACATAGTTATGAGGAAATGCAGTATATTTTCCCGAACAAAATAAAAAGTTTTTGTCTCTCCCATTCAACCACTTCAAGAGATATTTACTTTAGTCCAGAAATATATTAGTTAATTTTTATAAGCAGTTTTTAAAAGAAATAGGCCTGAAGAAAATTTATTTAGCCAACAAAAATTTTCCCCCTTCTACTTGAGGTACTTACTAATGCCACTGTTTGCCTTTGCTAGTCGTTACCAGCTCTATCTGAGTCAAAGAAGAGAAATATCTCTCTGCCACAAATCCCAAAAGGAATAAAAAGTGGGGAGAGGCAGAACATATTTAATTAGGCCTAGGCCTGTTGCCTGATTTTCATTAGGCCCCTGCCTGACTCTGATTTGGCCCACTATAAGTCCTTTTAGGCCACTGGGCATGAAGACCAGTGCTTATTTTCATGGCTGTTTCAATTCATCAAGAAAATCCTTTGAAAGATGAAAGACACTCCACATTTTTTCACCTGTTGTTCTTTCTTATGTGCTTGTCACTTCACTCGCCAAACTCACTTCAAGCCAAACCAAATGCTTTCCAAACCTCTACAGTATGCCTTTGAAGATCTTAAGTTAAGTATTTTCTTATGCTGACCAGTATAGCTTCCAAATAAGGAATAAAAAAATAACGTAGTTCTTAAGTTTTTTTTTTAATACCAGAAATGTAAAAACACATTCCAGTATGTGGATAAAAGCAAAATTCCACTTCCCCAAGTTTAGAAGTCTTGAGCCAAATACACCTGATGTTCATTACCACACCCACAGCACATTGCTAATATATGACAAAGTTCCAGCAAAGACCATATGCTGTTTTTATTATTGCCACTTCACAAGTTTTCCCAGGCTCACTAGAAAAAGTATTCTACAAGACCAGCCCACTGAGTGGGCTCATCTTACTACACTGATGAAATTTAGTCTGTTATTTACCTGATTAGCAATAAACATCTCTCTTTATTTCCAACAACACAGCAATTAGGGCCCTAATCTGTCACCACTACCTTCAAGTTTTGGCTTTCATCAAAAGAAAAGGAATTTGCCAAGAAGGAAAAACACAGCTCTACTTTCAAGCTAAAAATAGTTCTGTCTTCTAGACAATATACACTTTCACACGGCTCCAGCAAACATTGCTTCAAGCAGCCTACAAAGGATATATCAGGAGAAGTACACAATAGGCCCAAGTTTTAAGTACTGGTTTAGCCAAAAGATGCAAACATGCAAAAGCTGATACAGAAAAGCCAACCCAGGTGATATAAGAGGAAATGAAATCTCTAATCTGTTGATACTTTTTGAGGGGATCAAAAATAGATAAAACAAAACCACTGGACATAGTCGATATATCTAAATTTCCAGAAACTTTTTATAAGCCTCTCTACCAAAGGCTTAATTAAAAAGTTGTTATGAAGGTTACATTACATATTTATTCTTAGGCAGAAAACCAACTAAAAAACAAAGAACAAAGTAGAGGCAGTTCCCTAGGTGGATCTTATTTAGCATCGCCATAGATTATCTAATAGATGACAACGATGATTGTCGTTACCATTATAATTACTTATTATAATTATTTCATGTCCTATATGCTATACCAAGCACTTTATGTATATAATTATCAGGTAGGTAATGTTATCTCAATTTTACAGAAGAATCTGAGGTTCTGAGATGTTAGGTAACTTGTCCAAAGACACACTGTTAGCAAGTGATGCCAAACTGAGAGTAATCAATTAAACTAATCCACCAGTGAATTCATTTTTCTGAAGTTTTCACAATGATGAAGTCATTTATTTACTTATCTATGAGACAGGGTCTCACTCTGTCATCCAGGCTGGAGTGTATTGGCACAATCACGGCTCATTGCAGCCTCGAACTCCCACACAAGCAATCCTCCCACCTCAGCATCCCTAGTAGCTGGGACAACAGGTGCACACCACCGTACCTGGCAAATATTTTATTTTTTTTGTAAAAATGATGTCTCCCTGTATTGCCCAAGCTGGTCACAAACTCCTGAACTCAAGCAATCCTCTCTCCTCAGCCTCCCAAAGTGCTTGGATTGCAGGAGTAAGCGACCATACCTGGCTGACACAGTCACTTAGATATCTGTTAATGTTTTTTAAAAACAAAAACAAAAAACACATGACTTTATTTCTGTAAGGCATAGCAAATAAGAAAGAAGTAATGGTTCCCTTACCTCAAGGGGACTAGAAATTTTTCAGGGATCAGTTCAATTCTTGCTCACTCCTGATGTGTATCAAATATGAGAAAAGTTAATTCATTCAATGGATATCTAGTATAAGTACCTACTATGGACCAGGCAGTATATGTCTATCCTAAACTTGATTGTGGAAAAGAAATGAAAGGATTTGTCCATATCTATCAGAATGTTCCATCTGCAGCTTGAGTTTGCCCAGTTCTCATCAGCCTATGGGAACAAATAAGGTTGCATTAATCAGCTAACCCAGATTTCATGGCTTTCCCTGGGATGCAGCCATCAATCAAGCACTGCCCAAGTAGTTCTGGTAAATCCCTGGGTGCATCTCACCTGTGATAATGAACAAGCCTTGTCAGATACCATGTGGCTTCCAATTCCTCTTGCCCTTTTCTGGCCCTCTCCAAGGACATTGTTGAAACTGGAAGATAAGCCCTTTCTCTTTAGATTGTACTACATTCTGTTAGAGAGATCTCAAGTAATCTTACTGGTACTTCCAGTATCCAACAGTTTTAGCAAAACAACTCATTTAGTATTCATTTATAACTTTACCCTCAACTCTCTAAAAGACTGAGACATGCTCTAAAGGGAGGCCAGAAATGGAGACAAATCTGAGTCATAGACACCACACCATTCTCAGAATAGCCCCCCTCCTCTGATGACTAAGACTTATTACTGGATCAAGCTGTCACCCCTAACTTCCTCACCCCTTATAATAATTATCTCCCAGGATGATCTTAAATCCATGTACAAACAGACTTCTGACAGGCTGTGCCCACCAGTAATTATAACATGTTCAGAACATGGCTGAACATCAGTGGGAGCCACTGTGTAGGTTTATTGCTGTGTTCAAACACCCACTCCCCAACACATATACCCCTTACTAAGAAACAAACACTTTGAGGGTGAAAGGGGGTGCTAAAGATGAAATTAAATTATCCTTGCACTCTGATACGGCTTATTTGGGAGCTCTGGTGGGCAGTCAGGATACAGCATACTTTCTAGTTAGGTAGACTACCAAGAGACAATGATTAGGGTCAATACAAGAACAGCCTGTGTAGAATTACAAAGATAAATTAAGTTCAGGCAGATTGGCTCTAAATGGAGATTTGGTGGATGAACAGGAATTATCCACAAAAAGCACAATGCATTACCGATCTATTTTTATGGCCACTAACAGAGTATAAGTTTAGGGAGTGTAAGTCTAACTTCCTCATATCTGAAAACAACAGTCTTCTGACACAGACAGTTGGTGCCTCACCCATATTCCCTGACCCACTCCTGTAGCATTGGTTGCCTACTGCTTTGGCAGACAGTTCACTTCACAAACCAATGAGTTCCTACCTCAAGCATTTGTGTCTCTTTGACTCTGGACTTCCTCTGCCTGAAGAGCATGTGCTGCCCATATCCAGGTAGGCCAGAAATAGTGGGGAGTTAATTTCTCCAGACATAAACTTCAACCTGTAAAAGATGGAAAATGGTAAATAAATGTCCCAGCTTCCTTACCCCTTGTAGCAACTACAGTTTCTTAGAGGGTCTCCAGCAGGATTGAGTACCAGGTACCCACGGTGGTAACCACTCCTGAATGCACTCTCTTTTGACTTTTCACAGGTCTCCATCCCATAATCCTACTCCTTCATGGTGCTTCCAGGGACCCCTTCAAAAATAAACTACTTGCCCCCAAATCCTTGTTTCAGGATCTGATTCAGAGAGAATCCAAACTAAGACATCTTTTTTCTGTAAGAATTATCTCAAATATGAATTAACCCACTGTGCTTCTCCACAATAAAACAAAGAGTTTTAAAGAAAGGAAAACTAATTTCAGAAGCTTGAGAACCTTACCTGTACCCAACTTCATCATTTAAAAAGTGACTGAAGTTCAGGACTAAGGAAACACAAAAGCTTCCACGCAGGTTCCCATTGCAGAGAAGAAAGCTTGAGTTTGTCAGGGCAGGTAAAGGGAGAGAAAGAGAAACCTCTTCTTCTCAATTTTATCCTCACTTTCAATGCAATGCAAACAAAAGACACAAAATAAAGGTCACCTCTGAGAAGAGCATTACAAACAAATCTGAGAATATAATTTGATTTTTCAAAATCAAACTATAGGGCAGGGCCAAGATGGCCAACTAGAAGCAGTGGTGATCCAAGGCTCCCATCAAAAAGAACCAAAACAGCATGTGAATCCTGCACAGCAACTGAGGTATCTAGGTTCTGTCATCAGAACTGACTAGGCAGCTGGCGTGACCCACGGAGAGGAAGGAAGGGCAGTGTGGTGCAGTAGCCCACCTTAGAGCCACACAGGGCAGGGGAGCCCCCATCCCCAGCCAAAGGAAGCAGTGAGTGAGCATGTTACCCAGCCTAGGAAACCATGCTTTTTCCATGGAACTGTGCAACCCACATACTGGAAGATCCCACTCGTAAGCCCGTCACCAGGGCCTTGGATCCCAGTCATGGAGTCATACAGATTCTCAGCACCCACTTGGCTGGAATCTGGCTAAGCCTGGCGAGTTCCTGGAGGGAGGTGCAGCCATCACCACAGCTGCGGCTGCCTGTTGTCTAAGCCACCTGAGCTCCTTGGGGGAAGCATGGCAGCCATCACTGCAGCTGCTAGCCACCTAACACACTAAGCTCCAGAAGGGGTAAGGGCAGTACCCATCACTATAGCTCTAGGCTGTGTTTTCCCCTGCTGGAGCCAGGGAGGCTGGATAGCTTGGTCCCAAGAGGTATTCCTCCAAGCCCAGCACACCAGCTGTGGCAGACAGACTGCCTCTTCAGTATGGACCCTGACCCATCCCTCCTGACTAGGTGGGGCCTCCCTGCAGGAACTCCAGCCAGGGGCTCAGGGGTAGAACTCTGATCTCCCTGGGCCTGAGCCCCTATGGGGAGGGTGGCCATAGTATCCATGGACCAACAGACTTAGTCTTTCCTCCTCCTAGCTCTGGAGAATCTTGGCATTCAGATGAGTGGGTTTCCCCCCAGAGCAGCACACCCCCTCCACCAAAGGACAGCCAAGGTACTTCCTTAAATGGGTCCTGCTTCCCATGCCAACTGGGTGAGACCTCCCCCTACAAAACAGGGTGGTCAGACACCCTATACAGGAGCATTCCTACTGGCATCAGGTTGGTGCCCCTCAAGGTCAGAGATACAAAAGGAAAGAGCAGACATCCATCCTTGCTGTTCTCCAACCTCCTCAAGTGACAATTCTAGGCATGGGAGCAGATTAATAGGGCCTGAAGTGAACCCCCAGCAAACCACAGTAGCCCTACAGAAGAGGGGCCTAACTATAGAAAGAAAAACAAAAAAGCAGAGAGCAACACAACAGCATCAACAAAAAAGTCCCCACAAAAACCTCATCCAAGGGTCGGCAGCCTCAAAGATTGAAACTAGAAAAACTCATGAAGATGAGAAAGAATAAAAAAAAAACCACCACTGAAAAACTCAAAGGCCAGAGTGACTCTTCTCCTCCAAATGATTGTGACACCTTTCCAGTAAGGACACAGAACTGGACAGAGGATGAGATGGACAAATTGACAGAAGTATGCTACAGAAGGTGGGAAATAACAAAATTCACTGAGCTAAAGGAGCATGTTCTAACCCAATGCAAAGAAGCTAAGAACCATGATAAAATGTTACAGGAGCTGCTAACTAGAAAAAAACCAGTTTAGAAAGGCACATAAATGACTTAATGGAACTAAAAAACACAGCATGAGAACTTCATGAAGCACACACAAGATAGCTGAATCAATCAAGCAGAAGAAAGAATATCAGAGATTGAAGATTATCTTGCTAAAATAAGGCAGGCAAACAAGATTAGAGAAAAAAGAATGAAAAGGAATGAACAAAACTTCTGAGAACTATGGGGCTATGTAAAAAGACTGAACCTATGACTGATTGGAGTACCTGAAAGAGATGCGGAGAATGGAAGCAAGTTGGAAAACACACTTAAGAATATTATCCAGGAGAACTTCAACCTAGCAAGACAGGCCAATATTCAAATTCAGGAAATACAGAGAACCCTACTAAGATACTCTATGAGAAGATCAACCCCAAGACACATAATCATCAGATTATCCAAGTGGAGGTGAAGGCGAAAATGTTAAGAGCAGCTAGAGAAAAAGGCCAGGTCACCTACAAAGGGAAACCCATCAGACTAACCGCAGACCTCTCAGTAGAAACTCTATAAGCCAGAGGAGATTGGGGGCCAATATACAAGATTCTTAAAGAAAATAATTTTTAACTCAGAATATCATATCCAGCCAAACTAAACTTCGTAAGTGAAGGAGAAATAAAATCCTTTTCAGACAAACAAATGCTGAGGGAATTCATCACCACTAGGTCTGCCTTGTAGAGCTCCTGAAGGAAGCACTATATATGAAAAGGAAAAACCTGTACCAACCACTGCAAAAACACCAAAATATAAAGGCCAATGACACTATGAAGAAACTGCATCAACTAGTGTGCAAAAATAACCAGCTAGCATTATGATGACAGGATCAAATTCACAAGTAACAATATTAACTTTAAATGAAAATGGGCTAAATGCCCCAATTAAAAGACACAGAATGGCAAATTGGATAAAGAGTCAAGACCCATCAGTGTACTGTATTCAAGAGACCCATAACCCATACAAAGACACAAATAGGCTCAAAATAAAGAGATGGAGGAAAATTTACTAAGCAAATGGAAAGTAGAAAAAAGAAGGGGTTGCAATCCTAGTTTCGGACAAAACAGACTTTAAACCAACAAAGACCAAAAAAGACAAAAGCATTACATAATAGTAAAGGGATCAATTCAACAAGAGGAGCTAACTATCCTTAGTATATATGCACCCAATACAGGAGCATCCAGATTAATAAAACAAGTTCATAGATACCTACAAAGAGACTTAGACTCCCACACAATAATAGTGGGAGACTTTAACACCCCACTGTCAATATTAGACAAATCAATGAGGCAGAAAATTAACAAGGATATTCAGAAATTGAACTCAGCTCAGGATCAAGTAGACCTAACAAATATCTACAGAACTCTCCACCCCAAAACAAAAGACTATACATTCTTCTCAGTGCCACATGGCACTTACTCTAAAATTGACCGCATAATTGGAAGTAAAACACTCCTCAGCAAATGAAAAGAGAATGGAAATCATAACAGTCTCTCAGGCCACAGTGCAATCCAATTAGAACTCAAGATTAAGAAACTCACTCAAAACCACACAACTACATGGAAATTGAACAACCTGCTCCTGAATGACTCCCGGGTAAATAATGAAATTAAGGCAGAAATCAAGAATTTCTTCAAAATCAACAAGAACAAAGAGACAACATACCAGAATCTCTGGGATACAGCTAAAGCAGTGTTAAGAGGGGAATTTAGGCCAGGTGCAGTGGCTCACACCTATAATCCCAGCACTTTGGGAGGCTGAGGTGGGTGGATCAGGAGGTCAGGAGTTCAAGACCAGCCTGGCCAAGATAGTGAAACCCTGTCTGTACTAAAAATACAAAAATTAGCTAGGCATGGTGGCACGTGCCTGTAATCCCAGCTACTCGGGAGCCTGAGGCAAGAGAATCCCGTGAACCTGGGAGGCAGAGGTGCAGTGAGTTGAGATTGTGCTACTGCACTCCAGCCTGGATGACAAAGCAAGACTCTGTCTCAAAAAAAAAAAAAAAAGAAGAAAATTTATAGCACTAAATGCCCATATCAGAAAGCTAGAAAGATCACAAACTGAGACCCTGACATCACAATTAAAAGAACTAGAGAAGCAAAAGCAAACAAATCCAAAAGGTAGTAGAAGACAAGAGATAACTAAGATCAGAGCAGAACTGAAGGAGATAGAGACATGAAAAATGCTTCAAAAAATCAATAAATCCAGGAGCTTGTTTCTTGAAAAAATTAATAAAATAGGCCACTCGCTAGACTAATAGAGAAGAATCAAATAGACACAATAAAATATGATAAATGGGATATCACCATTGACCCCAGAGAAATACAAACTACCATCAGAGAATACTGTAAACACCTCTATGCAAATAAACTAGAAAATCTAGAAGAAATGGATAAATTCCTGGACACATACACCCTCCCAAGACTAAACCAGGAAGAAGTCAAAGCCCTGAGTAGACCAATAACAAGTTCTGAAGTTGAGGCACTAATAAACAACCTACCAACCAGAAAAAGCCCATGACCAGATGGATTCACAGCTGAATTCTACCAGAGATACAAAGAAGAGCTAGTACCATTTCTTCTGAAACTATTCCAAACAATTGAAAAGGAGCGACTCTTTTATGAGTCACTCATTTTATGAGGACAGCATCATCCTGATACCAAAACCTGGCAGAGACACAACAACAAAAAAGAAAACTTCAGGCCAATATCCCTGATAAGCATCATGCTAAAATCCCCAATAAAATACTGGCAAACTGAATCCAGCAGTGCATGAAAAAGCTTATCTACCAAGATCAATTGAGCTTCACCCCTGGGATGCAAGGCTGGTTCAACATATGTAAATCAATAAAAGTAATCCATCACATAAACAGAACCAATGACAAAAGCCACATGATTATCTCAATAGAAGCAGAAAAGGCCTTCAATAAAATTTAACATCTCTTCAGGTTAAAAACTCTCCATAAACTAGGTATTAATGGGACATATCTCAAAATAATATGAACTATTTATGACAAACCCACAGCCAATATCATGTAGAATGGGAAAAAGCTGGAAGCATTCCCTTTGAAAACCAGCACAAGACAAGGATGCCCTCTCTCACCACTCCTATTCAACATAGTATTGAAAGTTCTGGCCAGGGCAATCAGGCAAGAGAAAGAAATAAAGCATATTCAAATCAGAAGAGAGGACGTCAGACTGTCTCTGTTTGCAAACAAGATGATCCTATGTTTGGAAAACCCCATCGTCTCAACTCAAAAGCTCCTTAAGTTGATAAGCAGCATCAGCAAAGTCTCAGGATACAAAATCAATGTGCAAAAGTCACAATCATTTCTAC